AAACTTCTCTTTTCAGTCCTTGAAAACGTTTCACCTCTCTACCAAGAGGCTCCTTCAGTTCTGCAGAACCTCTCGTCCAAAAGGTGAAACATCTTCAACAAGGAAAAAAAAGAAGTCCAGTTGCTTTTTACTGAAGCTGTGAGGATTACCGTGACCTGGATGACTGAGAATCTACACAAACATTTACAACATTTTTCAAAGTGCCCACAAGTGTTACCAGTTGTGGGAAAAAAATGGGAGCATCACATATTGTAGATGTTCAGCTATCTGCACTTTACATCTTTGTAGAGGTTGATCAACTCTAGAGATGTTTCACCGTGCTGAATGCATCGTCCAACAACATGCTGACCTCCTGCTCCTGTGTACACCGTTCTAAGTCATGCTGCTTTTACTTTGCCGATCAAGTACATTTTGTTTTCCACCCTTTCTTTTACTTTCTTCTATAGGCATTTTTAATTTGTTTAAACACAGCCTGCATGTTAGCCTAGTTTGGTCAAATAGTGCCTGATTTTTTGTGGAGTGGAAAAGTTTGTGATATTTTAAAAGAGAATCTGGTTGATAAAAATAATTTATTTTGGCTTTTTTTTTATTTGCGATGTAGAATAAAGTAATTCTAATGAAATTTTGAAGCTTAGATGTTGTAGATATTTTTCAGATGGAACTGCACATCGCACATGGTTTGAATGTAGTTGAAAAATGATTAATATTTTAGTTTTTACAGTTTCTTGCTCTGATAAATGGTGTAATGTGGGCAATTTAAAAAAGAAAAGAAAAGAAAAGATAACATGCCTTGCAAACCTGCTGGTCAGTTTTGAGGCTGATGGTTAAAAAGATGTCCTCCAGTGTTAAATGAGTGCAGTGAATTTATTTGCCTGATCAAGAGAGCTGGCAGTGGAAACCTAAACTTTTCTTTCTTGTTCTCATCACAAACTTGTGCGTCACTAACTAGAGGAATCAATTTGGGAAGAGATAATTTCATATAAAGCAAGGTGTGAGAATAAATGTGCAGGTTGCACAAATAAAAACTTGCTGCAAATTTCACACTGGACTTGCTGGCAGAGTGAGCAGGATTTCTTTGCACTTTGACATTATAATTGAACAGCAATTACAGTTAAAGTACTGATGAGTTATGTGAGCTGTGGAAAAACAAGTCACTGCAAGAAACAAGTTTTTACCATTCAGATTCTTTTGGTTTAGTTATATGCAGCCTCCAGAGATTGTTGTGATGTTCTGTAATATTACAGAATAAATCCACGAGAAGATAACAGCATGTAAGTAAAAACAAGTAAAGGTCATCTGTGTAGAGTCACATGTCCTTCATAGGGTTGACACAATCAGTCACAACGTTAAAACCACTTACCTGCTCTGTTGTTGGTGCTGCTCTGACCCATCAGGGTATGAACACAGGACCTCTGGAGGTGTCCTATGGTGTCTGGCACTGGGACATCAGCAGCAGATCCATTGGGTCCTCAATCATATTTGGATCTGGAGGCTGGATCAACACCCTTGGCTCTTGGTCGTGCTTCTCACGCTGATCCTGGGGGTGTGTTGTTGCTATAAGGGCAGGTGCTCAGTCTGAAACAATGTTTTGGGAGGTGGTGCATTTCAAAGTAACATCCACACGAATGCCAGGACCAAATGTTTCCCAGCAGAACGCTGCATCGTAACCAGATGATCAATGTCATTCATTTCACCTGTCAGTGGCTTTAATGTTGTGGCCAAATGCTGGACTTCTTTTTCCACTGCAGCTGCTTTTAAGCCTCACTTTTGACAAAACAGACAGAAAGTACTCAGAAAACGTGACATAGTTTGGCTTCAGTTCGGTTTCATGCATATTTCGAAGTGTTAAGTAGAAAATTAAGTCTTGACGCGAATCGATTTGCGCTGAAACAGACTCATAATGCGTTTGGGAAGAGAAGAGGAAACAGGCAAAGAAGCGAACAAAGCACAATAGCAGGAAGAAAAAAAAAAACATCTTGTTTCGGCGTGCTTTTGCAAGAAGCAACAACAATGACAACCAGTGGACTCAAAGATTGATCCAGCTGATCTCTCTTTCATTCAGTTCACAACCTCTGGAATTGAACTGAGAGAGAGGAAGAGGAGGGGGAGAGAAAGACTTAGAGGGAGGGGAAAAAAAAACGGAGGAGATGGGGGTGACTGGAGGAGAAAACTGAGGAAGAGTGTGGAAGGGGGACTGTGTGGGCATATGTGTGTGGGAGGGGGCGTCTGTAGGACACTGTGGGGTACGAGGCAGCACCCCGCAGTCCCAAGTAATGGCAGAATAGAACTTAATAGGGTAGAAAAAGGCTGGAGGCTGTTAACTCAGAAACGGTCATTTTGAATTCCCCATTCTCTCTTTCTCCATCACTCCTTTCCCTCTCTTCCATTTTTCCATGCACCTTATATATCTGTAACTCTTCCCATCCATGTCTGCCTGTGTAATTTGCCGATTCTCCCTCTGTCTCGCAGCACCCTTAACCCGTCTCCCACCGTTTGGCTGCTTCCCTTTCTTTCCCCCCTCTCTCTCTCTCTCTTGCACCTCTCTCCTTCCCTCCTAGCCTCGCCTCCTCCCATCTATCCCTCCTTCCCTGCCTCATCTCCCTCCCTCCCCTCCTCTGTGTCTCCTTGGAGGAGGTGTAATGATAGCTATTTGAGTGTCATCAGAGGATCGCTGTAATGGCTTCTAAAGCACCATCCCACGGTTGCCACGGTGAACCTGGCACAGCCGCTGTCCCAGAACAAGGGGTAGAGGGGGGGAGGAGGAAAGAAAAGAAAGAAAAAAAAATAGAAGAAGAAGAAAAAAATAAATAAAACATCTGGTTGGCTATCGACAGGCGTCACCGTGCCGACAGCAGCAGGAGTGGCGGCACATCAGCAGACGATGACGCAGCCCCCAGGGGCCGCAGAGAGTGAGCTAATGATGCGTGGGATAGGATACATATGAGGAGGAAGTACAGTAATAGTGATAATAGTGATAGTAATGAAAATAATAGCTCTGATAACAATAACAGTGTATGACTTTTTTTTGATTTGTGGAGCAGTGTGTCTGTCTCCACCTCCCATCATCTCCTTCTTTTTTTTTCTTACAATGTTTTAAGTGCCTGTTTGGGAATTTGTAGTTGACTACAAGAAAGAAAGAAGGCGAACATGCAAATGCAAAGATGTGATTTCCAGTTTGTTTCTGTTATTTTTAAGATAAGAAGGCTCCCAGAATGAATTTCACACACACACACACATGCAGGCTGCAGCTCCTCTCACCGACAGGAGATCGGTGTGAACGTTTTATAAGAAGTGATTTCATCCACATCATTAAGTGCGTATAAGACGACGACGCTGGATGAGTTTTCAATTGCTTTTGGGCAGCTAGAGTTCATAAAGTAGGTGCGAAACTGCAAACATATTTGCCCTGCTATTGCTTTTGAATTTCCCCTTAATGCCTTAGTTTGAATTGTTCGTCGTTGAGTGAAAACTTAAAACTCTCAGATATTGAAAATGACTTTGCAGGACCTCCTGTGTGTAGAACAGGGATGCCCTCTGTAGGTTAAGCAGCAGAGCTCTGTGTGTTGTCTATAGTTTCTATATCTTTCAACTTTATTAGTGGGTTATTTTATTTTTAATTTATGTCATAGCAATAGTTAATAAAAACATGAAGAAAAATTGCAGTTATTGTTATTTTATAGTGATTTATTACTACTTTGACAACTACTACTTAATACTGTTAATATACTAGTAGCTGCGTGAATGTTATATAACCATATAACCAGTGCAAAATTGCTTTAATGTGGCTTTTAATTAAAGTGTAATTAAAAGTTCTCCTTATATTTAGAACACTTAATCTAAGTCTCTGCAGCCCTGATGTGAAGGCAGTTGTTTGTCACTCAATGGTAAATGTTTTAATTAGATTTTGATTATCATTGGGCCATTATTAAAAAATGTGACATATATTTAATAGCATCAAGTTAAAGTTATTATCTTTAAGATTTCCATATCGGTTCAGTTTTTCACTGTTGATATCCAGCGTTCAGTCCCTTACAGTCATAAAATGTGTTTATATTCGTGTACAGTCAGGAAAGACCTTCAGATGTTTCACTTTTGGAATGAAAAACATGAATGATGTGTGAATTATCTAAATAAATTACACGTGGATCCAAATATTTTTTTCATTTATGCAGCAATAAATAAAACATGACTAAAAATAAAAAATAATTATAGCAATAAAAATGTTAGTAAAGTGATTTCTACTAATAAAAAAGAAGGGTGACAAAAATTACAAATACTTTTTAAGAAGAATGTTTTAAAAGAATATGAGATACCCAACATTGTAGACCTTTGTGGTGTTTTCCATTTTGTCGTTGTGGTCCCTGTTTAGTCAGTGAGTTTTCTTAAACTGCAAAAAATCTACAATTCTAAACCATTGTTGCACTTCCTGTTTTGCACCTTTTGTCGTCACAAGGAGCAGTTCCAGCATTTAGTGTCTGTGTTGTGTGAATTTGTGTGCGACGCCGCATTGTTCGTTCCATTTTGCGTAAGGCAGTTCAAGTCTGGGTCGGGGGAGTAAATCTTTTGGGTGGGTGGTGTTTACTCTGAACCCTGAGACCGTCCTCTGACCTTTGTGCATGAGTGTGTTTGTGTGTGCGGCGCTGACACGTATGTTGCTGTGGGTCAGTGAGTCTGTGTGTATGTTTATAGCTATTGACGAGCAGAAGAGGGTCTGTGTGTGTTTGTGTGTGTGTGTGTGTGTGTGTTTGTGTGTGGAGGGGGGTAGTGCCGGTAGATTAGCCAGGTTGGGATGATTGGGTTGAGGATTAGATGGATTCAGGAACTGAAACGTCTGTTTACTTCGCAAAGAAGACTTATAATAGGCTGATTGGCAAGCTTGATTACACACACGCACATGCAGGCTCACCTGCTACACACACTCATTCATTCAGAAGCCCATATGTTGATTAGCTTGTTATTGTTTCCTTGATAACACCCGCCATCTCCTTTCCTAAATTCAGATGTAAAGCCTTTCTGCCTCTCAGACACGACTCCCATTAGGACTGACCCAGAGAGCTTGCAATCAGAGAAGGTGTGTAACTAAACCCCGGCATGAGCAGGTAAGGGGAGCCGCACTCAGGCAACTACCTCAAAGGCACAGGGAGCGCTCTGGTTACCCGGCGCCGTGTGTGTATATTTGCGCATTGTTTCTACTTACTTCTCTTTATGTGTCACAGAAAGAGGTGAAGTGCGGAGCTCAGAATAAGGTGCAGAGGCAGCGAAAGGCAGGATTACACACATGGCAGGTTAGAGAAAGGCAGCGAGAGAGAAGGAGAGGATGGGAGGAAAAAGCGACAGAGGGAGGCTTAAGATTACAGAGGCGAGCACCTTTTGTTGCAGAGTTCAGTTGTGATGGACGGCTTATGTTTAGGGAAAGAGTGAAGGTGTCCTTCAGTGCACTACCATAAAATTTGTAGGACCACCGAGGATGTTCTCCTTCACTGATCAAACTTGTGTCTGACAAACGAGGAACCTGGACTTCAAGGAAAGTGAAGAAGGAGGTCAGAGCATTTGATGTGATTGATGCAAAGATAGGGGCAAACACAAAACCCCGGAGAAGTGTAGTCAGGGGGTGACCGAGTGATTGAGCCTTCTGGGTGAATAACAAGTCATGCAAGAACAGGAGTGAGGCTGGACGAGGGAGCAGCGTTCAACAGGAGAGAGAGGGGAGGCTGCAGAAGCGGAGATAAGCAGTCCAGAGCAAAATTAGTCTACAGAGAAAGAGAGGTTGACACCGGACTGAAGAGAGATCAAGGTTGACTCAAGTCTTTGCTGCCTCCAACGTGATTAGGGAGAATAGTAGAAGTGGTGGAGGCGAGCTGGGAGACCCAATCAACAGAACGTGAGAGCCAGTTAGAGTAGAAGGAAAAGAGAAAGAATTACACAAGGACGCTTGGTGAAAGAAGCCTCTTAAATCTGGGAGCTGGAATTAGAGCCGCAGGAACTGCAGAGGGGAAGCCACAAAACCACAGTAAGTAAATTAGGACGCTGTGGCTGGAAAAATGTATAATGAAGCCATGGGCGGGGGAAGGAATCTGTGGTCTTGGGAGTGCTTTATATACTGTACCTTAATGAATTGATTTCCTGCCTTTACAACTTTTGCATTTCATCATTCCCCATGACATCACCTCTTTCCTTACTCTTTGCCTCTTTAAAAACCACCATTGCCCCCTTTTTTTTTTTTAAGCATGCCTGTCACTTCTCAATCTCCTGTCACTATTAGTTACCTCTCTGTTTCTCTCTTCCCTGTCTCAACCCTTGTTCTCCTTCTCTCTCTCACCCCCTCAAATCCACAGGTGAAGATGCCCGCTAATGGGAACCGTCCTTTGAAGTTGCAGTTTGGTCTAATAAATCATGAGGGTCGCTACCTCACTGCTGAGACCTTTGGCTTCAAGGTAAGAAAATGCCAGTCAATATGAAAGACGAACTGTAACATACTTTGTGCATGACTGTAGTGGTGGTGCCTATGGATCTGTACAGGGCCACAGTATGACATGAAACTGTCGGGTTTGTTGTACGCCAGATTTTTAGAGTGTCTACCTCTCTTGATTCTCAGGTGAATGCCTCAGCTCCCAGCCTAAAGAAGAAGCAGATATGGACTCTCGAGCAGGATTCCCAAGACACCCAGGTGGTCTATCTGCGCAGTCACCTGGGACGCTATCTGGCCTCTGACAAGGATGGCAAAGTCACCTGTGAGGCAGACGGCCACAATTCAGACTGCCGCTTCCTCATCGTGGCTCAGTCAGACGGCCGCTGGGCCCTGCAGTCTGAGCAGTACCTCCGTTTCTTCGGTGGCTCTCGGGACTACCTGTCCTGCTTCGCCCAGCTGATCACAGATGCCGAGCTGTGGGCAGTGCACCTGGCTCTGCATCCGCAAGCCAACCTGCTGTCTGTGGCCCGTAAGCGTTACGCCCATCTCTCCATGGAGGACGGGGAAATCGCTGTGGACCTGAACATTCCCTGGGGGGTGGCAGCACTCCTGACACTTGTCTACCTGGACGGGAAGTACTGCCTAAAGACCTGTGACAGCCGCTTCCTCAGCAATGACGGAAAGCTTGTGATGCAGAATGGGAGGGCCACGGCGTACACCTTGGAGCTGAAGTGTGGGAAGTTGGCCTTCAAAGACTGTGAAGGGAAGTATTTGTCCCCCATGGGGCCTACGGGGACCCTGAGGTCTGGACGGTGCTCCAAGCCAGGCAAAGATGAACTGTTTGACCTGGAGGAGAGCCACCCACAAGTGGTTCTGATAGCAGCCAACGGGCGATATGTCTCCATAAGACAAGGTAGGAAAACACAGACACATTAACGGGACAGTATATACTTGCAAATCTGATTTTACCCTGAATCCTTGCATTCATGCACAAGCTGCCCCTCTGGCAGCTCGCTAGTTTCCTTAAAGTCTTACACAGAATCCCAAATGTATGATTAAATTGACGAAGGTCAAGCTTTGGTGCCATTGAGGGTGGTCACACGAGCTTTTGCTGACACACACTGACCTGCACACATACATAATGAAGCAGAAATTGACAGCTGATAAGGGATGCATGGTAATTATGGGTAATGTAGTCTGCACATCAACATGCATCGACATCACAGTGGATTGCTGCATCTCTCCAGGAAAACAAGATAGATGAGGCTGATATGGGAGACTATCAGCCCCATCTGGGAGACCTGAGACGAATATTCCATTTGCTTTCGAGCTGTAATTGATTTAGTTTAGTCCACTGTTGGTATTAAGTGTTACACTTGTGAGTGATTTTATTCAAGTAACAGATTCATTGTGCGTCCGTGTTGGGAAAACCTACAAAAGTAGATATCTCAGAAACGATTTAGAATCAGTTTTTCATGAATTACTTTAAATGTTGTCAGAGAAGGTGTTGAATTCCCTAAATAGCAGAGACCTTATCATAAAATGCGGTAAATATAAAAGAGAAAAGGTCCAAGGAAAAGGGGAATTGTTTTCCTTTTCTTTTAGCAAATAATCTATCATTTTAGAAAATCCCCCATTCATTCCCTCTCAACCGTACCTCCTGGCTTTGTTGGGTAATGCTGTTAACACTCTACACTTTTGCCCCTTGGGCTTACTATAACAGCTGCTTGTAACCAATATGCTGTACAGTAATGCTCTGTTGATACTGTATTATGTATTTACTCCTCAGTCTTGTGATAGGGCTGTTGGAGGGGGTTATTTGATCAGCACGCAGGCACGGCACTACACTACTGTACTGATGGATTACACTCCACATTGAAGTAATTTCTTCTCAAAAACAAGGTTGAATTTCTTTGATCAGTGTAAAACCTACAAAAATTGTAATTGTGAGTGTCACATTGCATCTAACCAGAGGTGCACTAGAAGGACCTGCATAGAGTTTCAGTTGCTGATGGTTGAAAGGGTTTGCTGGCCTGATTTGAAACTGGATTTGGGGTAGATTAGCATACACCAACAGTGCTTGTCAGCATACTTGGCCATGACAGCCATCCACAGGCTGCAGATTCTTGTCTGCAGGGTCAAGTTACTTCAACCCTGGGTGCTGTAACTGAATCTCTCCTTGCTCATTGTTCCTGGTTAGCAGTGGGGGCTGCAGGCAGGAACCAAACTACTGGGAGCACTGTAAACTGATTGGCTGAAGGAAAAGGAGAAATAAGGTTGAGCATGAAACACACATATAGCACTGCACCATATCGTATGCATGTATTTGCTCTCACACGCAGAGGAATTCTTGCAGCATGCTTTCTTCCATTCTCTTTTTTTCCCCTTCCTACATTTGTTCTCTGCAAACAAAAGCTTTTTCTTTCTCCGAGACACTCGCCCACTCACAACCATACCGTCCTGCTACGGCGAGTGGTGAGGTGTGTTGAATTATTGATGAAGTTGGCCCCTGTTCCTGGAAGGCGAGGGGGAGTCTGCTTTCAGAAACCCAAGCTGCCTTTTACCTGCGGCCAAAACTTCTGCCCCACCGAGTCCGCTCTAACCCGCTAATGTAACCTGCTAACCTCAACTTCAGTCAGCGCTTATGTGCTACTGAAAATCAAGGAAACACGGGCAAAGGGAGAGCTTTTCGCAACAAAACTGCGAGTCACTGTGAAAGTTCACATCAAGACATAAGAATATATTAGCTGTGATCATATTTTTTGGCCTCCTGTTTTAGTTAAAGCAAGGAGACTTTAAATGAGTCAAATCAGCTTTTTAATTTTTAAGAAACTGAGGTATGTAGGAACCAAACATTTGCATTCTGACTTAAAAAACAAAGACAGCAGGTCAATCATCACTTGCTAAATGTCTCTTGTTAAATGGAAATGCAAGATAATCGGTGACTTGTGGCGCAGCTTTCGAGGAACTTCTGATTACGTCACTTTAAAGACTTGAAAAATAATTGATGACAATTTACAATTAATGCAAAAAATAAAAATAAAAACCTACATCTTGGGTAAAGATTGAAGAGTAAAAATGGAAAAAAAAATGCAAAAATCCTTAAGCGGAAATGCTTCAGAATTGCAATACTTGGGTAAACAGACCTTGTTACTTCTGGGTTCAACACGATGAATTAAGGGGAGGAAGGGGAGAGTGGAAAGCAGAGAAGGGAGGATACAGCTGTAGGATGACTCCCAAAGGACTACAGGAGTATGAGTGGAGACAGGTGGGCTCTTCATCCTCCCTAATGTCATCTGTGCCTCATAAATTAGCACCGTTGTTTGGGCTTCATTTAGCGCGGTGCAAGTGCAGTAAAAAAAAATACGGTTAGCTGTTATGAGGCAGAGCATGAATTTAGATTTAAAAGTGTGTAAAGTTTTGTAGACAGGCATGAAATGAAAAGTGACTTGTATGTTATTGCCTGCAAGTGTGTGTGTGTGTCTCAGCATGTCATGCAGATCCGTTATCATGTCTCTCATCACCTTCCTGTGTTCCTCGGGTCTAAGTGGTCCACTCTGCCCTGAATGTGAAAAAGAGATGATAGTCCAAAGACACAAACTTTCCATTAGCACGCATGCACACACATAGATACACAAACACACACATACTACATCCATACATGAGCAGCACAGGGAGAGATACGTGGAAACGAATGAATGAAGTAAACAAAACAAACAGTAGAAAATGCAGTTGTGAAGGATTGGGAGAAAGGAGAAAATAAGGGACACAGGGATAGTGGCATTGGCTTACCATTAAAAATTGATGTCAGAGCCATCTATCGTTGATGGATTAGTTAGGCCTGCTCCACTTGCAGGCTGGAGGTTGGACAGCATCAGGAAGAGGAGCTGGATCTGGGGTCTGATCCAAAATGAGACACTGTTGAAGCTACCTGTCCAAATGCACCAGGGAGCGTGATACTGTGCCCGTCGTTTACCAGCGATCATGGATGCGATGACAACATCTTAGTGCTCATGCTTGACCAAGGGGTGTGTCAAAGATGGTCATCAACACAGCTATTGATATCCTCAGATTGCTGGCTTGGATTTCAGCGTATCCAATCTCTTTCCTCCCCCCCCCGTCCTCTGTTTCTTTCTCTCCCTCCATCCTTCTCTCCTTCCTCTGTCTCCTCCTTTCTCATCTATCAGATAGCGGCTGTGAAGTCCCAGCTGAGCCCTGTCTGAGGATCATTTCTGGGTTGAATTAGTGTGAAATGGACACATGGAATAGGTAGACAAAGCATGACATTGAGTCGGGATGAGAGAGAATGGGAGTGATAGGCCCCCAGGCATAGCGGCGGAGTCGAGGGGCTTAAATTTATGCTTCAAATGCACTTAAGATCAATGATAATTTAACCAGTTGTAAGACCTCATGATACCTAGTTTATCGGGTGTGAATAAGATGGTTTTAAAGCATCCCCGTAGCTCAGTAACCATGACATCTTTGTCGCGTGTCATCCCCTTTTCTCACTCCTCCAATTTATTTCTACAGATTTCAAAAGCAAAAAAAAAAAGAAGCAAAAATGGCCCAAAAGAATATTAAAACAGATAGGATTTACATCGTCATAAACCACAGGATACAGGCTGGAACACCGGTATAAAAATTTATAGTGAAATTATTTTTTCTCCCTTAATTTATTATTTTTTTCTCCACCAGGTCCTTCAGACTGGTATGTGCACATGCATTTGTACTGAATTATGCATCTGTTATTTATATACATACATCAACCTTAAACCACTTGATTCAGTGATTCAGGTTCATTCTGTTCAGGTTTATTTATTCCATGAAAATCATCAATGGCATCTGTCCTCAGGTTCAATATGTATTTTCCCATAACCTTGCTGGAAGAGGTATTCAGATCCTTCAATTAAGTAAAGCTACTAATACCACACTTTGAAAATGCTCCACTATAAGTAAAAGTATGTGAGTATTATCAACAAATTATAGCCTACTTAAGGTATCAAGACTAAAAGCACTCACTGTGGAGTGAAATGGTCCCCGTCAGTGTTTTACTCATATTGTTTCTGGAACAATATAAGTGCTGCATTAATGTGCATCTTACTTTTTTACTGGTGTTGATGTTTAAGACTGAGCTGCTGTTGGGTAGTTTAATCTACAGCAATGCGTCCTTTTTCTGTAAAATCATATTATGTTTGTAGTGCTGCTGTGCTGGAAGAATCCGTCTCTAAAAAGTCGACTTTTCATGAGCCCAGAAAAAATATTCCCGTTTCTGTGGCATTTGTGCATTTTCTAACAAAATCAGGGGGATTAATGAAAAGTTTATTTAGCTTAAGAAGTAGGAGAATTATCTAAACCCATAAAGGAACACCTAATCCTTCAGTTTATCACAAGCATTCAAAATCACCACATGTGGAGATTTGTGGTTTTCACTGGATTGAAAGGATATAAAAAAAGCGTAATTTGAAAAGTAACCAGTAACTGAAGCTTTCAGACAAATGTAGTGGAGTAAAACGTGCCGTATTTGTCTGCGGGATGTAGAAAAGTACAAGTACAAAGTTGTATAGAATGAAAATACTCAAGTAAAGTACCTGAAATGTGTACTTAAGTGCAATACTTGAGTAAGTGTATTCCATCACTGGTGGATACTGAGACTACCATCAGCCTTAGCTGCACTCTGTTTAGTGATAACCAGCAAGTGTCAGCATGCTAATACACTAAACTGTGATGAGATGAGAACACAACAAACAAATCAAAACACTCTGGGTTGTCATTGTGAGAGTTATGTGTGACAATTACTAATTACTTTACTAATAATGTTGATTTGAATAGCTTCATTCAGTACAGTTTAAAGATTCCCAGGTGCTGATTGTGTGGTTTGCTCACAGTTCAAACGATATAGTGCATTCAAAGATAAGTGAACAGAAAGCACAGTCCATAGTACCGCAATGTTTGGCAGTAGGTTGTTTTCTACTGCAGCAACTTGGGGGCCATTTTAGGGCAACCTGACCCTCTGTGGAACTGCCCCCGCAGAGCCACTTTCAGGACTGTTTTCAGGAGAGAATAAGTACCTACTCTTGGGTAAGCACTTTTGATTGGCCCTTAAAAACTGCTGTGTGGGTCTTGAAGCTGATCGGTTAAACTAGGAAAGACAAAACACTTGCTGGTTAAACCTAGAGAGGAGAACAAGTGTCATTTTTCTACCCTCTCGATGTCCACGTGGAGTAGCAGTCTTCTCTCAAACATCTCTATCTTCAAATCAGAATTAAGGCTAACATCACAAATGTCCATTGTTCTGTTTCCGATGTACTCATAGAACTGGGGTTACTTCTAGTACCTACTATTTGTCATTGTTTTGGCACACTATCATTTAATGTTGCAGTCAAAGCCTTCAGATCCTACACTGCAATGGTACCAAAAAAGCTTACAGGGCGAATTTTGGGGCCATTTGTAAAAAGTTTGGTGCCACTTTGCCCCAAAAGTGGAAAAATGTCAGTTGACTGTTTTAAATTCTGAAGAACATGTTTAGCCTGTCTGTAGGGTTCTTAGCAGCTGCTAATGTTGTACCACCACATTTAATTATAATGTCTTTATAGTGACTTTTAACAAGTAAATGACGTGAATGGACTAAAACTGCTCAAAATCTACTAAGTCAGTCAGTGACAATGTTGATTTAGAATGGTTCATTTAGTTCGATTATTTAGGGTTAAAGACTAATTCATATATGCAAGATAATGGATGGATGGATGGATGGATGGATGGATGGATGGATGCAAGCAATTGTGTTAGAATTCTCATGTTAGCATTAGCATCACAGACACTGCTCGGACAACTTGTCTAGTTTCTGTTTGACCTATGCTGCCTTCAAATGGGGTCGTATTTACTGTGTCCATATAAATGTCCCATTCTTTATTCTGACATACAAGATGTCGACTGTGGGTATAAGCCTGTAACTGGACACGTAGTTCATGCGCCTTTCTCCTCCCTTACTATGTGTTACTAGTTTCAGTTTCTCCTTCACTACAGGAAACAACAACAACAACCTGCAGACAGGCCAAGATTTGAGTCATGTCCTTAGAAGCCCTGGTTTTTCTGGTGAATTATCCATTTTAATGGGAGTGCTCACCTCCCTGCATGTTAATGTTCCACCAAAACAGCTTCCCTGTCACTGTTTTGAGTAAACAGCACGTTCGTTCGTGCTGTTCTTCATCCCGACCAAGATGATTGTGATTAGTTTGAAGAAATACACACCAGAGCGTTGTCCTCCTATAGCAGAATGGTGATAAAGTGCAGCCAGACCATTCTACACAGCTCTGTGTTATAGAACAGTCTGGCCATGTCAGACTACCTTTGACTTGTTTGCTGACATTTTCAAAAATGGCCATGGAAGTGTAGTTTTTAGTACATTGTAAGTTTATCTATTGTAGTTTTAGTTGTAAATCTTTTCATTATGCCTTTGAATTTCCAACATTATGTTCCCTGCTCATTAGCCATGTTGTCACTTACTAGCACTAATGTTCTTATAACCTACACCCAATGTTACCCCTTAAATGCCAATTATTTGGTGCACACGAATTCACGTCATAATTAAGAGCTCACTAGTTCCATTTAAAGGCAGTATTACTGACTCTTATGCATTATATATAGCATAGTTTCAGAGGACAACATTCTTTACAAAAAGTTTCTGCACCTCTAAGATCATCTTAAGGTTACCATCAAACTATATAGTTTTCTTGATATGTTTAAGGTGATTCTTGTCCTCTGGAGTTTGTGTGTTTCTCTCAACATGAGAATACTGAACGTCCTTGCGAGTACAAAATCGTCAGTTAACGCAGATACATTTCACACATTTTAGCGTGTTCTCCATATGTTTGATCATCCATGATTCCTTAAGCTTGAGGTTTAAGAGCAGTTGGTAATTATCTGTACATCCTGCCAAGTGTGGACCATAAAATCCCCCCGTCTCTTCCTGTTTCTCCTTTATTCTTTTATTGAGGGGATTGAGGGATTTGATGAGTAGCACTCGAAAGCTGATTATATCAGAGACCCACTGTGCAGAGGGCAGATCGACGGGGCTGAAGGTGGGGTAATGGCAGGAGGCGGGGCTTCAGGGGGGTCAGGGGTCTGGAGGCAGAGATGGGGGAAGGGAAGATGGAGAATGATGGGCAAATAAAAAGAAAGATGCATGCAGATTAGTGATGTTGAAGGCTTAAGAAATGCATTGGGGATACTCTGGGAGGCATCGAATTTAGTGTTTAGCCCTCTGCAATCTGTCTTTTGGTGGTGTGGCAAACAATTGTTTTCCCTTCTGCTTATTGCCACTGTGATTGTTTGCCTGTGCTAGTTTCTGTTTCATGTAATTGGTTTCTAAGAGGTTTCTATAAAACATTTGTCAGGTAAAGGTGTGATTTTCGTTTGGGTGTTAAGTGGTCTCTGTAGTTGACACAGAGTTTCGTGATGAGATAACAATAACTGTGAGAAATGTGCTTTCGATAAGCTTTTCCTGCATTGATGCAAATTGCAGATTTCTTTCACATTTCCTACACATTCTGTGCATAAATGCAATCAGAACTACTATCAGTGAAAATGTATCTGCCCTCAGGGAGATGTATGCCAGCTTGGCACGTCAGATCAAGAGTGCAGTTTAAGACACTTAAAAATAACGGGATCAGACGTAATTACCGAATCTTTCATCTCGAGGCCAAGCTAAACAAATCAATACAACTTAATTAGCAAGCTGCTGTGTCACTTTGCTGAATTTGGCTTTAAGTTCAGTTCTGTGCATCATTTTGAGTTGTGCACAGAGGATTCTCCACAATCACACTTACATTATGAACACTCATTTCGCCGCTGACTGATTAAACGTCGCTCTGTACTCTAATCTTATTGTTTCTCCAACACTAGACAGTCGTCAGTTTTCATGCTATTAAAGTATTAATGACAGCATGTGTTTACTACGCCCCTCCCAGGAGTGAGCCTCGCAGCCAATCAGGAAGATGAGACGGACATGGAGACGTTTCAGATGGAGATTGACAAGGAAACCAAGAAGTGCACGTTCCGCACCAGCCAAGGCAACTACTGGGCTCTGGTGGCTCACGGAGGCGTCCAGACTACTGCCACAGAAGTGTGAGTGGATGCTGTTACATCAGCTGCACAGAGTAAAAGTGAATACAGTCGTCATTAGCAACTGTCACCATACAGTCTATATTACAGGTGGATCTTTCTGTCTCAAATCATCAAATATTTAGAACAGTTTATGCTCGAGCAACTCTGGTTTGCCAGAAATTTTCAAAGTATAAATTATGGATAGGTATAAATATGTTTAATTTAGTTTCAGATTGATATATCAAATGTTTTCTAAAATGTTTTTATTTTTCTTTAATTGTCTTCAGGACCACTTTTACCATTTCTCCCTCATGTGTGCTCAAAAATGAGACTTTTCATGACAGCTTCAATATTTTTTTCATGTTTCAACTCAGCAATCATCAGAGATTATTTGTTCTTCTTGTCTCATACTGTCGATTCTGAATCAATGGTATGATGAGAAATAACAGTGAAATTTTAGGCTTTTATCCTAATTGTTCCTGAGATATTGTCATAAAATCATAAACTCAAATTTCACAAAAATGTGTTAGAAGTAGGTAGACAGGCAATTTGAAAAAATATAATAAAATCTTGCCAAGTACTTAATATTTAAATGTAAAATTTCACAGATACCACTGTAAATATCCATAGTTTAGGATAAAAACAAAACGTTTCAGGCAAACTAGCGATGGTCGAGCAGAAGAGTCCTGATGATTTGTGATGGAATATTCCTGATATGAGTTTACAGAAGGAAATATTTGGCACTACTACAGAATCCTGGGCTAAAACATGACATCAAGTGATGTTTTTGTCTCACTGTTGAAATAGAAATGCTCTCATAGGTTATATTCAATAAAGAAATAATGCTCACGTTGTCAAGGATACAAGAAGATGTGAGCCAATCATGCAGCCCATGCTACCATCTAGTGATAACAGAAAGTGACTGAATATAAAAGAATAGCAGCCTGCATGCATGAGATGGCGAGCGACGTAGTATACAGATAAATTACTATTTTGAGTAGAGACAGAAACCCTTTCAACATATGTTGCCAACCTTCATCAGAAACTCCAGTCTGTCTTAGATGACCTCTAACTCGGCATGTTCCAACAGTATTTTCAAGCGTTCTGAAAGAAAACTCTTCTCTCCCACAGGTCAGCAAGCACCATGTTTTCAGTGGAGTGGCTTGGCCACAAGGTGGCACTAAAAGCTAACAATGACAAATACATCTGCACCAAGAAGAACGGACAGTTACTTGCTGTCAGTGATTCCATAGGTAGGAGACACTTTTAGGTTTTGTTTGTTCTCCTCTTTTCAGTCTTCTACTAATGGATCTAAATTTCCTTTAAAAAATCCCAGACTCTAACCTCTCTTGTGTTGCTTCTGCTGACTTTCGCCAGGTGAGGACGAGCAGCTCACTTTAAAACTGATCAACCGGCCCATGCTGATCCTGAGAGGACTGAATGGATTCATCTGCCACCACAAGAACTCCAACACGCTCGACGCCAGTAGATCCGTCTACGACATCTTCACCCTGGAGTTCAGCAACGGGGCTTACAATATCAAAGGTCAGGACGCTCGAGCTCAAACACACAAACGTTGATTAGTTTCCTGCTTTGTGCTTCTGACCTCTCATTTGGTTGTCCTTCACTGAGCAGGTGTGGATGGACGGTTCTGGTACGTGAACAGCGCTGGGCTGGTGTGTTCGGACGGCGAGGCCCCGGAGGATTTCAGTCTGGAGCTCCTGGAGCACGGTCGCCTCGCCATCCGGGGCAAGAACGGCAAATACCTGCGTGGTGACCAGGGAGGGACGCTGAAGGGAGACGGACTCAGCCTGAGCAGCTCAGCACTGTGGGAGTACTAATACAAACATGAGTCCAAACCTGGACTAACTTCTCACTGCTGAGGTGATCCGCCACTAATCACCACTCTGGCTTAAATGTAGAGTTAATCTTCGTGATATTTCATCCAGAGAGGACTCAAAGACTTACAGACAGGTGAAAGAAGAGGAGCTCACTGTGGATGTTCAGCCAAGAGGAGTCTTGAAGAAGTGAACAAAGTTTTGAGTGAACTCTTTATCTCAAAAGACCAACATCAGTGTGAATGAATATTTGAGTTTTTGTGTTACTCCTTGATTTTTTTTCCATTCATTAAAACTACACAAATAAAGGCAAACTGACTTGCAAATGTGATGTTTCACACATGTAATCATAGCCACGCTCCCTTGTTTTTTTTTTCTCATTACATCCTCGCTGGTGTCATATTCGCTGCTTTTCTACAACTCTAGTGTTGCATTAGTGACCGCAAGCCAGCAAAGTGGTAACACGACGTTGTAATGGTTCTTGTTCCTCATCAACTTGAAGACGTACAGTGACTCAGGCTGCCATGTGAGACACACAGCTACACCCGCACTTACTAGAAAGGTTGGGTCAGATTACTATGAAATGTGGTCGGTTACAAATTGCAGTAGTAGTCCACTGGATTCAAGAAAAACAATCAAGCTCATCTGAATACTTTTGGATTACTACAAGATCAAACACTGACAATACTGGATCTCAGACTAAATGTGAGTTCCACACATGTCAATACATTTTCAGTTGAAATTAAATGTATTTTGCATTTTCGGCATGCAAAAACAAAACTGGCACAAAATACACTCTACAACATGCAGCACGCTGTTTTTTTTTTTCTTTCTTTTGTGTAGGTTTTGGATAATGCTGTTTTTAAATTAAGGGCCACAAGGATGACTTTGCTTTTGTAACACAAGAAGAGCACTTACTCACGATCTTCCATTTGCAGAATAAATAAAAACTCCATTATCCATAAACTGTTCACTATTTCCCAAACTGGCACCCTGAAAGGAGTTACTTCAAAGTATAGTAGATGTTCTTGGTTTGCACAGTTTTAGATTACCAGGAACGGAGGCTGCTGCTCGAAACCTCCATCTGGACACGTTCTTTATCTCCCTCTGCGCTTGTCTAAGAAATCCAGTATGTCAGACGCACTTTTAATGAGGTAATAGCATTGGTGATCATTGGTGATCATAAATACGTAATCAAGATGTTATCAAGTAATCCTGATCAATGTTGCTATAATCTTGATTACATCTTTTCAAATGTAATCTGGAGTTACTATAATGTTTCGCTAAATCCTGATTACACGTAATCCATCACGACTCAGCGCAAATTCCAAGTGATGTCACCTTTTAGAAGAGTTTAATCCATACATGACTACAATGTTTTTTAGCAGACAAGAAAGATGAGGTCAGTCTTCCACTGTAACTGCAGCAGTATTGAAAGCAACATTTCAGTCTGGAGGTGTTTTTTATTTGTCCCTTTGGTTTGTATTTCCACATTTCCGTCCTTCTTTTTGAGCACAGAGGTAGAAAAATAAACTTGTATTTCTGGTTGTCACAATTCTATGAGGATTATAGGACTCTAGGGAATCCTAAAAGAAGAAAATCTAATTATATCCCCTGGTCAGGACCAAATTAACAGAGCCGCATGGTGTTAAAGTGCCATAGAAGACAATAATACAATGACCAGTTTCAAAGTGCTATCTGGAGAATTGCAAAGCTTAGTGTAATACTATTTCCCTGGACACAACCGGATGCTTAGTATTGACATTCAAGTATTTCTACGTTAGTGGCGTATTACGGTCAACTGAATTTCACTGCAGCTGTAAAATAGAAGTAAAATCTTCACAGTCATGTCAATCCAAGGAGCAGAATCAGTGGCTGAGTTTGTTTTTATTCTACTATTTCCAAAACTGCAAGGTCTTTACAAGCCAACAGGATTTCTGAGATTCATTTAGGTTTTTGGGGTCAAACTGTTTTATCAAATCAACTCCCACCTCCGTTGTTAAACTAAATTTCCTGATCATATCTCCATCGTCTGCTGCTGTTGAGACTTATTGTAGTTTCATGGATCCACTTCTAGCTGATATTGTGAAACTGTGCGAGCATCAAGAGTTTCAGCAGCTTACAGACAGCACAGACGTCACCTGTGTGTCTTCATCATGTCAGGACCTGCCGCTGCCTTGGACACGCGGAGGCCTGCAGCCCACACAGTTTACACCTCGATGTGAGCAGGTGTTGCTGTTTGGGTGACTAAAGCAGCTGCTGTGACGGCAGCAGGAGGTGCCATCAGTCAGAGATGCTGCTCTTAGCTGCTGCTTTTCTTCAATTCCTCATTAAACATATGATTATGTTACTTTATCAGAAGGAAAATGTTCTAACTACTGAATGCTCTCCCTGCTCTCTTTCCTCTGTTTGTAATTGAGAGAATAAATCTTAATGTTCTCCTGATAAAAATGTGGTTTTAGTGGTCCAAAACATTTGACTTTATTAGTAGTTTCTAGGCTTACACTTAATCATTTCTCTAATGCCTCTTTAAAAAGTTAACAGAAGTATAATGGTTATCCAGGAACCGTTTGCAGTGATCAGTGCTTGCTATACAGCATATTGTGTGAAGTTTACACATTAAATCCTGCAGACCCTGGTCCCTAAAGCTCCAAGTTCACTGTCTGGAAATGAGCTTGTGGTAATTAATTGAAATTACATTTAGATCAACCCTATTCAGCTCGATCAGGGTCCACTGGAACCCAAGAAAGAATATGTGCAAAATATTTGTTGGTATTCATTATAGACTTTTATACTAAGTTGACATATTTTTGGTTCCAAATGCATGACAAATGTCCCTCTGTTTATATATTTTTTTTTAAATCTTCAAAAATAAAAAATAAACAATACCTGTCACCTAAACCAAATGGCCTGGGGTCCAAAAGACCCCAAAAGTCCTGAATAGGGTTAGCACTAACACTACATGCACCACTGAAGAACATAATTTAACCTAAAGTGTTTATCAGCAGAGATAGAAGACAGTATTCATAATAATGTCTTCATTGGTGTACAGTCTCCTGTAATCAAATCGTGGATTCGCTAATTCATAACCACTGGTTCTAGAGCAAGCCTTTCTCGTTTTGACATTCAAGTGGCAGCCACCATCAGTTCTCCTACAAGCTTGCGAAAGGGACAGTTGTTCAGTTTGTTATAATCTGCAACTTCAACCCTTAACCCTACACACTGAACTTTAAGGCAACAGAAGCATCAAGTGTTGAGGCACCAACATGAAGAGGGAACTGGTTCAGAAATCTACCATTAAGGCCTTTATGATTTGTAGATGTATTGTTCTTAATTCGAGCTTAATCAAGTGAATATTAATCTAGTTAGCTGAACCTGTGCTTGTTTCAACACTTTTTAAACCCCTACACATTCCAGTTCAGCTAAAAACCACAGCTAAGTTAGTCAGATACAAAGCACCAACCTGAGAGATGTTTTCACACATGGAGCATCATCAGTCAGCAGCCTGTACTCATGAGACAGCAACCTGCAGAACAATACA